ACACCACCCCAGCTGAAGCCTCAGATGCTGAGCCGGCGGTGCCTTTCCCTCCCAGCAGGCTCTGCTGTATCACATCGGCGGAGGCGAACAGGACGGTGTAGCCCAGGACGTTACTGACGTAGGGGTGGGCCTTGAACAAAGCCCAGGTCCGGTTCATGATAACAGCTGCGATAGGAGAGAAAACAATCAGTTTTATTCCTTTGTCATCCAGGGTCCCACTGATTAATCAAGTCAATCATTAGGACCAAATAATTAGCTAACAGGTAAACACGTCTAACCATGTGACCATGATTTACCCTCATTTAGATGCAAATACTTATGAATGGAAACAAAACAGAACTGGGAAGGATTTTCATGGTCTAAAAATATTTGTTGTCTCATTTTTATGATCAAAATGATGGTATTGTGTTATGGTGACACACACACACACACACACGTTAAAACACGGACATTGAACTGGTGGTCTCCCTGCTGTAAGGCAGGGACACTAACCACTGTGTAGTAAGAACATTTACAGTCATTTCTCCAGAGGACGTTGTGCAGAACATGAACCACTGAGCTGTAAACAACAACATTAATGTGTCAGACATGTGTGCTAATAAAACCAAACCTACCTTAAAGCATAGCTTTTTGCTGCTTCTCTGCTTCGATGCCTCTCTGCTGATTGGCTGTTTTCACCAATGTGGACTGACTGAAGGATTTCTCACAGGGTCAAAGTTCTGACCGTGTTGAAGAAAATCTGTGATAAGAACTTTATCAGCAAAAAGAAAAAAACATGTGACATATGATAACGAATACATTAGCAATACCTGAACTGACTAGTACTGAATATGTGTTTAACTACATTCACTACTTACTGTGTACTGTATGTAGTGAACAGTACACAGTACAGGTCTGGAATATTACAGTATCAACAACTGCACTGAAAATGACTAGAATGTCATGAATGAAACTTATGTTTGAGTAAATGTAACTCACCACAGGAGGAACGAAGGAGAGACCAGACCAGGGACTAGACCAGAGACCAGACCAGAGACCAGACCAGGGACCAGACCAGGGACTAGAGCAAAGACCAGTCTGCTGGTTGTGCAGCTCCTAGCTCATGAACACATGTGGTGCATCTAAAAATAGCTGCCACTCCTACAGCCAAGCTTGGTCATGGAGATACACAGTCAAACACATTAAAAGTTAGAATCAGGGTAAAAATGTTTTTTATTTTTAGTTTTCATTTTATTAATTAAAGGTGAAAATCAATTTAGGCGACTGACGTTCCCTTTTGACGACATCTCTCCACCTCAGTCAGCTGTGAGGCTAACACACACCTGCAGCCATAGACATGCAAAAATGTGTCGTTGATGAAAAGGTCAATTAAAGCCACTAGCAACCATCTTAGCTCTTCCCTCTGAGAATGCGATAATTGCGGCCAGAGATTAAGCCGACACATTAAAGGCTCATTAACCGCCTCAAATGGTGCTTTGTGTCTGTGGCGCGTTAACAAGCTGCCTTTAGTGATCCACACAATCAGGACGTGTGCCCGCACCTCCACAGGCGGTTGACTTCCCCGATAATTGCCCCGTTTCTTTTCACAGCCTCTCATGGTGTCTCACTTCCTCTTCCACCCTGCGTTTGTCAAGTCGGCTCCATTCATTCTGCCAACATTTACATTGAGTGCTGCTCGTGTCACTTGACTAGATTTGTGCTCAGTGTCAGGGGAGGAACAGCTGACGTAGCAGAGCTCCACAGAGCAGAGAGGAGGTCAGAGGAGCAGCAGCCGGAGGAGCAAAGAGGTAGGAAGGATTTTTCTGATTTAAAATAAAATATTTATAGTAAAAAGTTACTGAAGAGTTGAATTTGGCTATTTGAGGATCAATAACATCCATCCATCCCTTCATCCATCCATCCATCCATGTGTCAATCAATTCTTAAGTCCATCCATGCATTACATTGGTTTCCATACATTCTGCAGCGCCCCCTTTTTGTAGATACGACTATTGTTGCGTCTCTATCACACTGACACCTTCACATCTTTCACTGCTCCTAAACACCACTGAACTCAACCTAAAACATTTATTTCCTTAAAGACTAGCATTATCGATAAAGATGAAAAGAAAAGAAAATATTGAAATTCTAATTCATTCTAAATTTAATTAACTCCCACGCCCGCCACTGAACTCAACTTAAAACATTTAATTCCTTAAAGACTGGCGTTATCGATAAAGATGAAAAGAAAATATTGAAATTCTAATTAATTCTAAATTTAATTAACTCCCACGCCCCATTTTGGGAACCACTGGTCTATACTATGATCAAGACAGGAACCACCTGCTGTATATATAGTATTTATATTAAAAAACTGGGCGTGGTGTCAAATGTATTCAGTCAAATACGCACAGATAAATATATGTCCTTGTTTTTGAGTGAGTGTGACCTCTAGTGGTAGAAGATTATTGATGATTTCATCATTTTAATTTCAACCTCCTGTCGTTAGAACAGCACACCCTCAGCCATGCGACCGTACCTGTCTTTTACTCTCGAGCCCGAAATGGAGCAAGCGGTCCCCTGGGGTCGTGACCTCTACACGTTTGTAACTTCAGCAGCAGGTCACATGATGAGGACCCTCCAGAAACCCCGGAAGAACCGACCTTCCAAACGGCAGGGCAACCACCGCCGCTTCCTGCACAACATGATTCAGAGGTGGGCAGCGTGTTCTGTGTTCAAACTGTGGCTCCCAAACTTTGAGGCAACTTATAAATTGGAAAACAACAGTTGTTCTTTTTTTAATTATTATTATTATTATTTAACTAATGGTTATCTGACTATTTGAAAAGTCTTAAAAATAAAAAATATCAAAAATAAAACTGCTTAGTGATTTGACTAATATCAAAGGCCAAAATTAACTGAAAAAAATTTAATATTTTTTGGAATGAACATTTTTTTCCACCAAGTGCACGGTGATTTATCATTAAAAAACTGCTGACTCACCAAGCTGGCCCTTCTCTCTGTTGAACAGGAAGTTTGCAGACATTGAAGCAGCTAACCACCGTCTGGCCTCAGCTCTGTATTTCAAGGATGAGCAAAACATTTTAACCTCATTCCAGTCGCAGAAGCCGGCAGCTGCTGGCTCGTCTGAGAGCCAACAATCACAAGATGCAGAGAAAGACAATGTTCTCAAAGAGACAGACGACAGCATCAGGTCTCCAGACGTCTCTGAGGACACACATCAAACTGAGAGCGGTGACAAAAACGGAACACACCCTTGGGAAACACCTCCGATGTTACAGTCCGAGACTAGAACCAGTGGGATGGTCAACGCAGTCGACGACAGACAGACTGGAGAGAGTGGAACTCATTCACAGGTGGAACTCACATCCGTTAGCTCACCACTAGGGACAGACCTCCACCCTGGACCAGGTGTCTTTTACAGTGAACGTTACGACAGCGAGAATCTGCTGACATCAGTCGACGGCCTCTCAGAAGACAACGTAGAAGCGTCTCTGGAGAAGTCTCTGTCGTCCTCTCCGGAACTTTCTCCTCTGTCTCTGGACTCCTGTGATTTCTCTGCCCACATGTTCACAGACATCTCCTCCTGTGCTCAGACTCATCAAAGCATCGGCGACTTGGCAGAGAGTCCCTGGGCTGACATCATCGACCTGTTCGGCATTGGAAAGGACTCTTCAGGCTGCCTGGACGACGGCGACGATCAGAGCGCCCCTGCAGGCGGAGGTGACAATGAGCAGGAGATTGAGCCCGAAAACCAGTCAGAGTGTTTTCCACAAGCCACGTGCAGCAACATGTGTCAAACTGAAGAACTTCGTCACAGCACTGGAGATTGCACTTATGAATATTTACATAGTTACCATGACGACCAAGGGCAAACCACAACTGTGGCAGCGGAGCCTGGCTTCACCGAGATTAGAACATCTGAAGCTGTCCACATCGACAGCCTTCAGATTCTCACCCCCAGCAGGTGGCACTACGACAGCACTGACCTTCAGTCCAAAGCCTTCAGCGACTGTATGCAGGAAAACTCCACACCTTTTGAGGGAGTCGCACAGTCATTCTCTGTGTCTCTACATTATCCTCAGCATCGGACAATACCAACACCACCCCGTGAGCATGAGTGGATGTTCCCCGACATCCTCAAAGACGGAGAGTCGCCGCACGCTGAGGAACCAGGATGTGAATATCCTGGTCTATGACTTTGGTGGTCGCAACTCCAGAATAAAATTATTTATTTATTTATTTATTATATTATTCACCTTTAATCTGAAATCGAACTCTTGTTGTTTGGCTTTATTCTAGTGAGCACATTTACCCAAACCACTGTAGGTTTGATGCTAAAAACCCAAAAAAAACCTGATGAACTTGGCTTTAGACCCTGGAGAACATTGCTACGCAGCTGGATTTGAACCGTGACCTTATAGGAAGAACTCCCCTCCCTGTCCACTGAGCTGCAGCAGGTGACTCTGAGTGGACTTTGACATGTAAACTATTCGGGTCGTCTATAAAGATCGTCTGTTTGTAACTGTCTAAAGATGTGTCATATAATCTTAAATGGGAAATAAAATAAATTAATTATTTGTGTCTTGTTCAAATCAGTTAAAGAGCAAAAAAACAACCAAAAAACAAACATCACAGACACCGTGATCAAAACCAACAACATATATTAAAGTTAACCCCGTTCACATGAATCATAATTACAGCATCAAAACCAAAAAGAGGCTGAAACAATAAAAAGTGTGTCCAAAATGTTTCAAGTTCCACAGTTGCCATGAACAGGAGGGAAAAATTATTTTTAAAAAAAACCAACAAAAAACAGAGAAGCACCGGCCTCGTCTTTGCTACAGGTGAACAGAATCCTCCTGCAGATCCATTCGTCGTTGTCAGATTTTGGTCAACATTTACATGTAGATGGTTCAATGCTGCATCAGCAGGTCAGTGATGAAACACAACAGACATCATGTACTGACAGCGTCTGCCTGTGGCTGTTCTCACTCCTAATGGGTAAAGTGCGGCATTTTCACATCAACAGATTTAAAACAATAGAATTTGCATATTTCTAAAATAAGACAATTATACAGAAAATAAAACACAACCCCTTTTTCACTGGGGCTTTTCCTACAGTCGTCCAACTCTTTCTCGACCATAGCCGTGTTGGTCGTTCACTGTAGTGATGACATGGCAGACATAAGAAGATAGAAGAGTAAACAAACACTTTGAAGAATCAGGGACATCAGACGTCCTGTTTGCAGTGCATTAAAAACCTGCTATGTACAGAATGAACACAAGAGGGCAGTAATGACAGCCTTGACGACTGATACGTATTATGCTGTACGTTTTTGTCACCATTAAAATCATAATCTAGAAATAACAAAACAAATTTGACACAATCTCTATAGTTTTACTGAACGTTAATAAAGGAGCAGTTTAGGTTTTTTAATGTGCTCAGTGTAACCACTTTGAATCGAATTTATTTTATCTGAACTTCATTCATTTATCCATTTTATTTTTTGTCTAATGCGTAACTCTGTTAAGGGCCACTAGTGGGTGCTGAAGTAGGAAGAAAGCAGGAAGGACCATAGCCATGCCAGCAGCACAAAGTGAGTAGTCAGGTCGAGCGGCTTTGGTGGTTCAGTTATGGTGGTTCAGTTATGACACTCACAAACACCTGTGTGTTCGTTTAGAGCAGTATTACAAAGCACAAGAATTTTTAACTCTGTAAATGTGATTTCGAATTAGTGCTTCCCAAAGCAGGGGGCGGGCCACTCTTAGAGGGCACAAAGCTATTGCAGTGGGGGCACAGCATGGCATATTATTCAGTTCAATATTTTTACATTTTCCTACAGGAATTAGTGTTTGGAAATCATAAATGGTCATATCTACAAAAAAGAAAAAATGTTAACAATCATATATAACTATAAGAATTGCTACAGCTTATTGAACATTGCAGTCAATATTTAAATATTAGTAAATTGAGCATTTATCCAAAAAATGCCAAACTATTTCTTTATTACCATTAGGCGTGTTTTAGAACTGCTAATCTCATGACATCTGTGACAGATGCTGAAGGACACTACAAAATAAAACTGAGTGAAAAAACAAACATGTTTTGCCCAAAATTATAACCTGTTTAATGGAGGGTCGTCATGACATGAACTTCATGTTCTTTTTAGTAAAAAAACAAACAAACTACAGTTTGTTCTACTTGCTTCATAAACATTCATCTCTTTTGTGCCTCCGTTTTCATTTTTATCTAACTCTGTTATCTAGACTACTAACTATCCTACCTTAACTTCAAACATTAGTCCCTTTCGTAATACTCCTACACCCGTTTTGGTTAAACACCAAATACTATGATACCCTCTGTTTAAAAGACTTTTGTTCAAATGTCATGTTTATTGGTCTTAAAAGAAGAGAAACTGCCACGGTTTCTGTAGCAGTCCTATGATCGACAGGAATAAAAGTCAGTTTTTTAAAAAAAAAGTCGATTTCTGAAGCAAATAAATGATCAAACACTGCATGTGGAGTGTTGACAACTGATTCTAATCTATGTAGAAAAAAATCATCTAATCCCACATTAACACAGTAAGTGCGACAGCGTTAAGGTTGCCGTGATTTTATGGTCAAAATGTGAGAGATTTTTCTTCTTACTGTTAAGATGGTCATTTGATATAAACTCAACTAAACGTTAACTGACCTCCACCACGTTCCTCCGTGTTCCAGATTATTGTTACAGTCATTTGTTGTACTTAATCCGACGGAGGAAGTGTTTCCGCTACGTAGAATAAGCAACAACGGCCGCTGTTTCAGAATTGTATCGGGGACACAATAATAATCTGCCCGTAGCTTTAGCCCAAATAATAAACATACAACAGCGTCTCAATTCCCCTAGGTGGCGCTCTGTGTATAAATAAACAACGTCTAGGGTTATTAGCGTTCATAAAATATAACGTTTCATTAGGTATAAGTTATTAAGACGTCGGTTAACTCTGCTGAAGTCAGCATCATGTTGGTTATGTAGCATTGCAGCCATATTTATATCATGAGTATGGCTTAAAAGCGACGTCACGTTATTTCCATAACGAAATAAGCTTCAGCAGAGACGAACGTTTACTTATTTGGTTAAATAAAATCAAATTGAACAAAATCTCAAACCTTCACAGTGAAAGTTACTTACTCTTACTGTCACAGTTTACATCTGGAGGAAGCGTAATGGTTTGATGAGTTGAATATAATAACTAGTATTGATTAATAAGACCGGCGGGAAAATACACAGGGAGGGGCAGGAACAGCAGAGGGGAGGGAACAGCGCGGAGGGAGGATGACCAACTGCCGCTGATTAAAATAAAAAAAAAAATCCTAGCGGAAACACTTCCTGCGTTGACGTCACAAATCACAAACGTTGTTAAAACACCGATGAGGAACCTGAGGTTCGTTCCTGTCTACATACAGTTTCCATAGATTGTCTTGTCACCTTCAGACGTATTTTCAACCTTCAGCCCTTAGTTCTGACTGTGAACGAACTCAATCATCACCAGATAAAACATGGTTTCATTTTAAAAACACCTCCTCTACACTCAGGATTTAGTAGTTTAGTTTAGTCAGTAGTGCATTACAGAGACGTAGGCATCAGGTAGAAAGTTACAGTCTTAGTTTCGTTGCATTCCATGTCACAGTTTGGTGCAAAACAAAATGAAATCCAGTTGCTTCTTCGCAAAAGTCAAAGTTGGAGCAAGACAATTGAGTTGGGTTTTTGGAGTTAACAAGCCTGATGTTGGCGTCCTATATGACTTATGTGAGTTTGTATGTGAGTTTGTATGTACAATGTGTGTGTGTGTGTGTCACTCTGTGTTGTTGACACTGTACGGTGGTGGAGGGTCCAGACTGTGATCAGATGAAGGAGTTGGAGTTCCAGGGAGTCCGGACGAGGGACTCGGAGAGGCGGGGGGGGCTTCCGAGTCGGAATTTTCCAAGAAGTCATCGACCAGAGCTCTGCGTCCACGCATTGCCAGGGGCAGAGGAGCACGTCTGGTCCAAAGAAATAAGGTTAGTGTATGTCCTACATCATCTACATCTATATTTATACTGATTTTATATATATATATATATATATATATATATATATGTGTGTGTGTGTGTGTGTGTTATATGTATGTACATACAAACATACATATAACACATGTATTTAAAGAATCACAGCACATGGTGGAATGATTTCCTTTGAATCTTTTTATTATCAGCAGTTACTTTGATATTTGCTATTAAACGAATACTTCTTTATACTAAAATACAACATAATCAATGTTATCTAAACCTACAAAGAGATCTTAACTTTTGTTAACTTTACTTTGTTTTGTACAATTTGTAAAACTATCATTAATTGTTTTAACAGAACAGTAATGTAATGGTACTGTATGACCATGTACACACACATTTATTTGTATATGTGTATGAATATACAGTATACTGTATATTGTAATGACATTTTAACAAGCTAATATATTTGTTATACGCAGTGTAAAATGTCCTAAACATTGTGTAAAGAATATAAAAGGTGTATCAAATGTTTTAAAATGCTTAAAGGCAATTTTTTCTCATATTTACACTACGTTAAAAGCTGAATAGAATCTAAACAATCTTGACTGTTATCTCTGCTGGTTTCTTAGTCAGTCTGTCTGCATGTGAAGCCATTCGTCGTCTGAGACACAAACACCAATCATCTGTACAGTGGGGTTTAATGATCACTGAGGACAAACACAACACAACATAACGGATGTTAAAAAAAAGAGGAGACAAACAGAAACAAAAAACAAAAAACACAGACACGATGACCTACTTATCTGGTCTCCATTCAGGGACGCTGAGTGTTGATGTGACGCAGACACATGGACAGTGAGTCGGGGTTAGATGGATATGAACAACAACAAAAAAGGCAAAACAAACCACATCACGTTAATGAGGGTTAAAGGAGAAAGAAAAGAGTAAATGACAAATAAATTAATAATGATGACCCTTTGAACACAAGGAACACACACACACACAGACAGGATTACCTGAGCTGTGTACGGAGGCAGCTGATCTCTCGGGTCATGGTCTGACTGTTGTCTGTGAGTTCCTCCAGCTCTCGCTGCAGCTTCCTCTTCTGGGCGTTGGAGCGAGAGTTCTCCTCCTCCACCTCCTCCAGCTGCCTCTTCAGCTGCTTCAGTCGTACCATCGACTTATCCAGCTGGGGAGGAGGAGGGCAGAGGAGACGGGTGAGGACAGAGTGAAGGGAGTTTTACCTGTGTCTAATGAAACTTTCTGAATGTTTGTACCTGTTCTCTGTACTGATCTGCATGCCTCCTCTCGTCCTCTGCCTGCATCATCACCTCCTTCAGTTTCTTCTCCGTCTTTCTCACCAGTTTGTTGGCAATGGCTCGCTCTCTGGAGAATAAAAGTCACTTAAAAAGTCACTTATGTACTTTATTTATCTAGGTAAACGCCTATATTATTATGTAGTGTATTTTGTGTTTGTTTTTATATTCTGTCAAAATTCAACTAAAAATAAAGAAAAT